TTTTTGGGGTTGGTGATTCGGGCCTTATTTTGCAATTTTTGTGGGTCTGATTACTCAAAAAAGAAAAATTTGGGCTTGATTATCCAAAAAAAAAAAAGCATACTGATGTGATATAGCAAAACATGAAATAACAAGTTTTAACTTCTAATGAAGTAATGATAGTGATTAAGTCTTCCTATAAGTTGGCCAAACCAATCAACAGTTCAACAAAAAAAAAATTATTGTTCATCAACATAAACAAACCAATCAGCAATTCAACATAGCAAGCTATGCATCAAAACAATAAGTAGTAGGGAGCAGCTTAGCAAAACAGTAGCCGACAAGGGGTCAGAGGATATGGAGAGTGGCCAAGGGTGGTCGCCGAGGGTGAATGTGAGAGAAGAGTAGCCGATGCCCGATGGTGGACGGTGGAGTAAGAGTGGAGTAGTGGAGTGAATCGGTAAGAGAGGCTTTATGTATGTAGGGTAGAAATCAGAATTAAGTTAGGCTATAATTTGGATATGGGCCATAATTCGATTAGGATTTTAGTTTTTTGGTTTTTCAAATCTTGAAACCAAAATCAAAACGCAATTTTTTTTCTTCTAACCATATAAGAAAAATAACCGCATCGTATTTCTAATTCGATTCGGTTTAAACCACATTAGTTTCATCTCTAACACTTATTGCAATGCTAGTCCAAAACTCGCAATGTTGGATTTGGCCTAGTGGACTTTTTTGAGTGTTTTTGGACAACGAAAAAAAAGGCTTAGAATTGCATGTCCAATTAGTCTTAGCTGCACTCTAGTGCCCACTGCCTATAAAATTAACGTGTAGTAAAAAATTATGAACACTTAAAAAAAACTTAACATTTAGTAATAAAAAACAAACACATTAAAAAAAAAATTGAACATTCAGTATTTAAAAAGTGAACATGTTAAAAAAATGATAATTCAATATTAAAAATAAACATGATAATCATAAAATTGATGGGCCATTACCTTAAAAATGAACATTTAGTGTAAAAATTATTATAAACACGTAAAAAAAATAATAATAAAAAGAACATTTGTTAATAAAAAATGAACATGTCAAAAATAATTATGAACATTAGCATATTAAAAATGAACATTTATCATACAATAATAGAATAGCTAGACCACACCAAATAAAATGAACATTTCATAATAATATATGAATATATTTAAAAAAATGAACATTTAGTATAAAAAAAACGAACACATGAAAAAATTATGAACATTTAGTATATTAAAAATGAACATGATTTTCTTATATTCATATGAATTCAAATTCATTGTATATAATTATTAACGGAAAATAAAGATAGAATGTCATTAAAACATGTTCAGTTTTTATGTACTAAATGTTCATTTTTAGTGTACTAAATGTTCATTTTGTACTAAATGTTCAATTTTAAAGTACACCGTGTTCATTTTTTTTCTTCCAAAAATTATGCACAAATATTAGCAACTCAACCAAAAAACCGAAATTCATTATAACAAACATATTAAAGATGCAACAATTCAATAATTCATCACAAAAACTCATTAATTAAATTAATATTCATAAAATATTCAAAAATTCAGTACTAGATTCATTAAAAAGTCAATTAAAATTTATCAAATTGTGAAATTCACTAATTATAAAATCAGAAAAATCAATTACAATTTTAAAACTAATTAAAAATCAACAATACAAAAACTAACCTGCATTGATGATCTCTTTTGAATAACAACCAAATCCATAATATTGTAGAAAACTAAGGAAAAAGAAAATGGTGACGATCTCGACGAAGATTATGGAGAATGCTACATTGGTGAGGAATTGGAGAATATTCAAAATAGGAGGATAAAGAAGTTTACAAATTGAAGGAAAGTGAGATAAGAAAAAAAAATTACTTATAAGGAAAGAAAAAAGAAAGAGGAGAGAGAAAATTTAGAATGGAGAAGAAAATTAATGGAGGTAAGGAAGAAGAAAGATAAAGAGGTAAATATAAAGAAGGGAGAAGAAAACATAGAGAATATTAATGGAGGTAAGGAAGAAGAAGAGAGAGAGGGGCAAATATAAAGAAAGGAGAAAAAAAGTATGTTCGTTTTTGAAGTACTATATGTACATGTATAGGGTTGTTGCAGCTAGCTTAGCTACATAAGTGTGTAGCTAAGAATTTATGTTGCATGTCCAAAGTCAACTTCAAAAGCAATAGGTCTAAGCTGCACCCGTGTACCTATTTTAGATGCAACATCAGCCCACAAGCCCAATTTCAAATGCGCCCCATTAAAAAAACATAACCCTAAACCATAATGAGTCCACCCAAAAACTGAACATATTTTTTTAAATACAGCTCACTTAACCATCACTTTCAACAACTATTATTTTTTAAATATAAATTTTTTTAAAAAAACGTCACTCTTAAATTTAAATTTCTGAAATTTATTACTCCTCTCTTTGATTTTCTCTCTCTAACAATCAAACACGATTCACTCTCTCTCTTCAAAAACAACCATGAAAATTTGAGATGAGATGAAAAATCAAACGGATTCCCCCCCCCCCCCAAAAAAAAGGCAATTTTATGTAAACTTAATTTTGTTTGAATTTATATGATTATCACTTAATTTTGTTTGAATATTGTTTGATACTCTATTGTTCGAATTTTTTATTGAAAAATAGTGAAATCAAACGGATACCTTATGTTCACATTCTGAAATCCATATGTTCATAATTTGAATTCTTATATTCATATTTTGAATATTTAGGTTCACTTTCTGAAATGTATATGTTCATATTTTTTTTATACATATACTTACTTTCTTAAATGCTTAGGCTCATATTTTGAATCCTTTTGTAAACTTTCTGAAATGCTTAGTAAACTTACGGAAATTCATTTATTCACTTTCTAAATCCATATGTTCATATTTATTTTTATGTATATGTTTACCTTCTGAAATGCTTAATTATGTTCATACGCACTCAAAAATGAACCAATGCGTTTATTCATACTTTTTTTAATACTTATAATGCGTAAGTTTCATAATCAATTTTTAATTTTGTTATGTTCATAATTAAACGCCGTAAATTTAATTCATATGAATACATGTTCACAAACCTAATCAAATTGATCAAAATTTATTACAAAATCACCACAAAAAAAAAAAAAAAAACGAAATTCATACATAGATCAAATTGATATAAATTAAACTAAATACAATTACGATTGAATATACCTTAAAAAAACCTAATTACAATCAACAAAACAAAAACACTAGCATGGAATTAAAAACTAATTCCATAATAAGCAAAAAAAATCAATCGAAAAAGTGAAACAAAAGAGAAAAATAAAGAAAATAGTGGAGAGAGAAAATGAAGAACGAAAGAGGAAACAGAGGTGAATAAAATTTTGATGAAAATTATGGTCGAAATTTTGATGAAAAATTTGATTAAAATTATTATAGGAAAGAAAAGTGAAGAGAAAAGTAGTACAATCAACTTGTGTTCATCACCTATTACAAATTGACAAATACCCAAAATTGTATATCAATCACAAATTTAGAAAATATAACCAATTAAACTAAATTACAAATCAATAACATAAACTAACTTATATCAACAATCTCTTTAAGATTCCAATTAAATCCATCACGAATCAACAAAAATATAAAAAATGGAGGAGAGAGAAAATTTTAATAGAAGAAGATAATGTCAAACACAGTGGATAGAGAAAATTTCAACCATAATTAAGAATTAAGTAAAGAATTTGGAAAAAGAGAAAAAAATTTATGTGAAAATTAAGAAATAAGGAAAGAAATAAAATAGGAAGAAGATTGAAGGAAGGAGATGAAGTATTATACACCAATACTCCAGTAATACACAATATATGTGTATTTGGTGTATAAAATAGGGTATTTGATAAATGATGCAGCCGCCTTAAAAGCCCAAGGATGCACTTAAGAATATGCCCTTCAGAAGAAAAATATTTTGCAGTCCAAGTCAGACCCTACTTGATGAGTTCGTGCTGAAAACTAAAGGCCAAAGCTCGTTAAAAAATGTTGTAATATCTCTCTCGCCCTCCCTCCCCTTCCCTCTCTCTTTGCCTCTGACCCTCTGTTGAAACTAGGGGTGTTAAAAAATACCCGATCCGTTTGACCCGACTCGCTGACCCGCAAAGTACTCGACGGGTAATTTTGATTATTTTTTTTCCAATTTTGCATACCCAACCCGCTAAAATATCAGATTTGCGGGTCGGGTAATGGGCCGGACATTGAGTGTTGCGGGTACCCGTTAAATACCCGGAATTTTTTTTTATATTTTTTTAAAATTTCTTGGCTGGAACTCAAATTAGGGCTGGTTACTTTCATCTACTCTTCTTTCTCCTTCTCACTCTCAATTTCCAAACATACACTCTCAACTCTCAGAGTCTCAGGCGAACGTCCTTCCTCTCCGTCAGCCGCGTAAGGTTGGTATTGTTTTCGAATTTTTTTGGTTAATTTCTTTGCTTATGTTTGATTATACTCAAGTTGTTTTGTATTACATTTTTATGGTTTTTGTCGGATTTTTTGGGGTTAATTTCGCTATGTACAATTGAGGAATACTCAAGTTTTTTTCAATTACATTTCTTAGGGTTTATTTTTTTGAATTTTGTTTGGTTAATTTGCTGATTATGTGTGATTATAGTCATTTTACTGAAGTAATTTTCAATTACATTTTTTGGGGTTAATTTCCTGATTATGTATGATTATACGGTTATACTTATACCTAAGTTATTTCCAAATACATTTTTTTGGTTAATTTCCTGATTATGTATGATTATACGGTTATACTTATTGTTATTTCCTAATACATTTTTTGGTTAATTTCGCTGCTTATGTTTGATTATACTCAAGTCATTGAAGCTTTGCTTGTTAATTCTTTGATCAGAAAATGTCTTCTGATGACTTGATGGGGGCAAAATCGAATCAGACTAAGGGCTTGCCTGGATTAAAGGTAGTTGTTAGGGGGATAATGATTGGGAGGGGATTTGTTAGGGGGAAGTAATTAATTTGATCTATTTATGAATTTTGTTAGGGGGATTAATCTGATGTGTTTGGTATTATATGGAGCACTCACAAGCTGCTAGTCCTGTATAATTTTTTTTTCTCCTTAAAAATCATTTAAATTTGATTTATAAATCATAAAATTAAAATCTGATTTACAATCATGAACTGTGTCACAATCAAATCACATTTTTACATTTTTTCCAACAAAATCACTTAAAAAAATCTCACAGAAAATCAAAAACGAATTACAGAGTAATAAAAAAAAAAGCATTAGACGAAAAGAAAAAAAAAATCTCACAGTAAAATCTTGTCCAAAGAAAAAAGCATAAAAAGAAAAGTAATTCAAAATTAAATTCAGTCCGTCATCGAAATTAATGAGTAAATTTTTTTTGAAGAAATCAAGTTAAAAATTTAATTATTTTTTTTTGGAAATAAACTGATTGTTGAAAATCAAGTCAATTATTATTATTTTTTTTTTATAATTGAAAATCAAGATATTTGAGGTAAACTGATGATAAATGAAAATTAAAATTAATAAATTATTGAATTAAAAAAAAAGAAACATTTTACATTCCAGATCTGAAATACTTTATGGGTCTGGCAGGAGAGAGAAACAGTTTCTGGAACAGGTTGCAAAAAGAGGGAAACAAAGAAAATGGTTTTACCCTGGGTAAATGTTACTCTAGGGGGGTGCTGGGTAGTATATTACCCCCATTTGAGGGGGAGTTTTTACCGGGCTAAAAGATTACACTCAATACAGGCCAAGGTTACAAGCCCATAACTATTACCCCTTTAAATTTTACCCTCCCGGGGCGTTTGGATTGTGGGAATGGGGATTGAAAGGTGGGAATGGGATTGGGAATTAATTGATGGGAATACATGAAAATATGCCAATACCTTGTTTGGATGGTGGGTGGGAATATATAGGGAATAAATAATAATTTTACCAAAATACCCTTACTAAGACTATTATTTCATTCTTTTCATTAATGGCAAAAATGTCATTTTCCCCTATTTCCATTCCCATCCATTTATTACCTACCCTCCCTAGGTAATAAAATGGTGGGAAATCACCCCTAAATAATCCCATTCCCAAACCCTTTTTTATTCCCACCAAACAAACAAGGTTTCCATTCCCCTCAATCCAGGCAGGGCCTAATGGAGATGACGAATCTGATGATTGTGAGATCTTGGAGGAGGCTTCATCAATGCCTAAGAAAAACAGGAAGGTTGGGAAGGAACAAAAACAGAAAATGTTGGAGGTAAACGAAAAAAATCTTCTAATGTTTGGGAACATTTTCATGAGATTCCTATTGATGAAAATCATGCTAAATGTGCTTATTGTGGGCGAAAAATTACCTGTACTACTAGAAATGGTACTAATGCTATGTCATGTCACAGTAATAGGTGTAAAAAGTCTCCCGGTTATGTTGATAGAAAACAAACACTTTTAGATTTTGAGTCTAGAACTAAGGTTAATACTGATGGGAGTGTTGAGACATTTAATGTTCCTAAATTGTGGAGATTTAATCATGATGAGGTTAGGAAAGCACTTGCTAAAATGTTGATTGTAGATGAGTTGCCATTTGCTTTTGTTGAACGTGAAGGTTTTCGTCAATTTTGCAAAGTTGCTTATCCTGATTTTGTTCCTCCCTCACGTGCTACTATTACGAGGGATTGTTATGGTCTTTTTATAGAACAAAGGATAAAGTTAAAAGACTTTTTTCAAGAAATTGTCTTCTAGAGTTTGTCTTACTACGGATACATGGACTTCTGCTCAAAATTTGTCATATACGTGTTGTACCGCTCATCTGTTGAAAAGTGTTTGTTAGAATGGAATTTGAAGATGGTTTTGACTTGACAATGCTAGCTCAAATGATTTAGTTATAAAGTACTTGAAAATAATCTTTAACCTTTGGGATGGGTGTGTGTTGAATTGTGAGTGTTTGCATATGAGATGTGCTACACACATCTTGAATTTGTGGCTTTGAGATATTGTTTGGACTTTGTAATTTATTTGGTTGTTTTGTTGTTTTAATTTGATGTAGGCTCTTTAAACTCTCTAGCTTTGGCTAGTGCATTCTGGACACTTTGAACTTTGGTTTGCATTTTGTACTTTGAATCATAATTTGTTTGAGTTATGAGAATATTTGTACTTAAACAGGTGTACAGATTACAGATATAGCCCCATATAGGGAAGCATTGCAGGGATTTGCAGCAGCCAACAGGTTATTTTTTTTGGTGGAAGCAGGTTTTTAATGTGATTTTGCTAGTTTGTTGGTGGAAGCAGGTTCATCAGCTTTTTTGAGAATAAAATCAGTTTTTTTTTTTTTTTTTTAAATTTTTTTTTAATGAAATCAGCAGGTTCTTTTAATAGATAAAAACATCACTTTTTGTTTTTAATGAAAAAGTTAGTTTTTTTAATAAAATCAGTAGGTTTAAGTCCATATTATTAAAGGTTTCTTTTTTTTAAAAAAAAAATACAAACATATATATTAAAATTTAGGGTACCCGAGGAAGCTACCCGGTAAAAACGGGTACCCGATTAGCGGGTCGGGTAATGGGCCGTTTGAATAACTATCTGCACTTCCGGGTACCCGGTTATGAGCACCCCTAGTTGAAACAACTTTCTTTCTTTCTCACGCTCCTCTCTTTATTAATTGATGTTTTTGTTGGTGGGTATTATTTAGGGTTAGTATGGATTACAGTAGAAGGCGGGATTTTTTGTTTTGTGGCTCTTGTGGGACATTGTTGTCATTGGATTCAACTAGGTTTGCTCGCTGCCCTTTATGCCGTACAAGGAAAAGCCTTAAAGGTACCTTCTTCTTATTATTATCTTCTCAATAATCTTGCTGTATAGTCAATTACAATTTCCTGTTACCGAGTCGAGCTTTGTCTAGGCACAATATAATTCATTTGGATTGTTTTTGAACGAGATTGTTGAATGTCATTGAATGTACTTGGAACCAAAGATGGAATAGTTTGCAATTGATCAAAGATGAACCTTGGAATTTGTTATATACAGCCGTGCATACCGTAATATTTGTGGGTATACGGTACACTCGAATGTATACAACAATCTCTCATATATGAATTTAGGGCCTGTTCTCATACGTTTATTTTCAGCTCAGTTCAGTTCAGCTCTTAATTTCCTTCTCTTATAAAATATTAATTTCAGTTTAGTTCAGTTCAATTCAATTCAGCTAAGTTCAGTCAATGAGAACAGGCCCTTAGTATAATTAGCAAATGTTAGTGCAATATTTGGTCTGAATCCCTAACTAGTCTCGAATTGCTCGAATTATATCGTTATTGGTGTGTAGTGGACATGGAACTATGGAAGTTAAAACATGGAAGTTTTTATTTGATATGAAGGATGGTTTCCTATTAGAGATAGAATGCAATTAGATTTTAATTGTTTGACATTTGCAACTATTTTGCGCACATTCTATTCCATTTTCTGTGTTCTTCTTAATTGATGCAATATATTCATATAATTCATAAGCATTTGAAATTTGTTGTTGATATGACAATTTCTATGAATTCTAGAAAAATTTAAATGAACTTTCAAAAAAGTATGTATTTCTATTAACAATTTCTGAAAAGCTCTTCCCTTCTACTCTTTATACCTGAAGAATTTTCTGATTTTAGTGCTAAAATTTTCCAGATTGCATGATATAAGTACTACTGCTTTGATTATGTTTATGAAGTTAGGAACTATGTCATCACTGGATGCTGTTACTTTAATTATAGCCTTCTACATTTTATGATGAATTTTCTTGCTCATGTTTGATCTTCTAACAATGTGGCATTTATGATGTGTTCTGATATTTTCAGAGGTTGAAGGAAAGGGAACATGTTATACCGTTTCAGGAGAGGTATGATTTGTCAAGGACTGATTTTTCGCACACAATTATATGTAATTTTGTGACTCAATTTAGAGGAAAGCTTGTATACTTGTTCGATTAATTCGGGAAACTAGCAGATTACAAAAGATAGTCAATGGCTTGAGGCCATAAGTCTCATGGGTAGCTTGAGGCTACTACTCTCAAAGTGTTTCCTCACTATTTTCTGGATGGTTGCTACTTTCTTACAAGCTAGTTTAAATACTCAAGCTCTTCTCTCAATTACAAGCCCTAATATTAATTAAGATTGTCATCTAGTAAAAAGCAAAATAGACATAACACAAAGGTGTCCCTCTTCCATGGCTAGAACTCCTTGTCTTCTTTCCCGATTCGGCTTGCCACCCAAATGCTCTGTTCTTCATGTCCCCTTTCCTGTTTCAGCTTTGTTGTTGACTTTGTTTGCTCCCCTTTCGTTATCGTTGGAATTGAAGTGAAGTCCACTCAGCTTGGGCCTCCTTTGATAGACCCGAATTGGTGTTTGGGCCATCCAAGCTGATTGGACTGATTGCACATGTGGGTCTTTAACAATACCCGCCGCCTCAAGATTCACCTTGTCCTCAAGGTGGAAGTCGGGAAACCTCTGTGCAATCAACGCAGCCTCCTCCCAAGTCGCTTCAAAATCCGGCAGCCCTGCCCATTGGACCAGCACCTCGACACTGTCTCTGGTTCTCCGAACTTCCAATATACCCTCTGGTTCCATTATTAATTCCAAATTCGTAGTCAGCTGACTTGGCATCGTGGGATTGACTGGCGCAGACCCGACAACCCGTTTGAGCTGCGATATGTGAAACACCGGGTGTATTCGGCATTCCGGGGGTAGCTCTAGCTTGTAAGCCACCCTCCCCACTCTTTGGATGATTTTGTACGGCCCATAGAACCTTGCCCCGAGCTTCTCATATGGCCGTCTAGCCAATGAACGCTGACGGTACGGCTGTTTGAGGAAAACCTCATCCCCAATTTCAAACTGATCATCCCTCCGCTTCCGATCCGCGTATTCTTTCATGGTTTGCTGGGCCTTAATTAAATTCACCTTAAGCTCATCCAACATCACATCTCGCTCTTGCAGCCACTCTAATTTATCCACCGGAGTTTGGCCACTTCCAATTCGCCACAACTTCGGGGGATCGCGGCCGTAGACCACCTTAAAGGGTGTGAGTTTGGTCGAAGTATGCGGTGAGGTGTTATACGCGTACTCCGCCCAAGGCAGCCACCCCGCCCAAGATTTTGGTCGATCGGCGATGAAGCACCGTAAGTAGGTCTCTAGCCCTTTGTTTACAATCTCCGTTTGACCGTCGGATTGAGGGTGATATGAAGTACTTCTTTTGAGATGGGTGCCTTGCAAACGAAAGAGTTCTTTCCAGAAATTACTCATAAACACCTTGTCGCGGTCGGAAACGATGGTAGATGGGAAACCATGGAGCTTCACTATATCTCGAACAAAATAATCCTTGAGAGCGTTGAACGGATGTTTGAGCCCGATGAAGTGGCTATATTTCGACAGCCGATCCACAACCACCATCACCGCATCTATCCCCTTCGAAACCGGCAGCCCCTCCACAAAGTCCATCGATATATCCTCCCAAATCGCCGTCGGGATCGGAAGGGGTTGCAGCAACCCAAGCGGACTCCTTTGCTCTGCCTTGTTGCGTTGACAAACCATACACCTCCGAACATAATCGCCGACTTGACGGTGCATTCCCACCCAGAACCAATCGGCGGCGAGTCTAATGTATGTCTTGACTTCGCCGTCGTGTCCACCCGTCGGGGTGTCATGGTACTCTTGAAGGAGAACTGGTATGAATTGAGAGTTCTTGGGTATAACAATCCGCCCCTTATACATTACACGTGCCCCATCTAAGTGAAACCCAACTAATCCTTCTCTTCCTTCTTCTAGGCCCACTTTCAACTGGCCAACCATTTATCCTCAAGAAGCTCCTTTTCCAAATCAGCCCAATCTACCCTTTGTGAATGAATTAAAGCCCCAAATTGGACCTTGGCTTGATCCATTCGGGAAAGTGCATCTGCCACCCGATTTGATGCTCCGGGACGGTATTGAATCTCGAAGTCGAATCCCACCAATTTCCGCATCCATTTTTGATACTCTCCACCCACTTCCCTTTGTTAAGTGATAAACCGTAGGCTTTGTTGATCCAGTTCGTACCACAAAATGTCGGCCCAATAAGTAATGTTTCCACCTCACAATAACCAAACATATGGCTATCAACTCTTTCTCATAAATTGATTTCTCACGAGCTCTTGCACCTAGCAATTTGCTATAGAAAGCAATCGGCCTACCACCTTGCATCATTACCGCCCCAACTCCAAACCTGGAAGCATCGGTTTCTACCACAAATTCCTTCCCAAAGTCCGGCATGGCTAGTACGGGTGCTGAAGTCATTGCCTTCTTAAGAGTTTCAAAGGCTAAGGTGGCCTCTTCCGACCACTCAAAACAATCCTACTTCAATTGTGAGGTGGGTGGGGCCGCAATTTGAGCATATCTCGCTACAAACTTCCTATAATACCCGGTCAACCCGAGAAATCCCCTTAACTCCCTTAGGTTCTTCGGCACTTCCCACCTAAGGATCGCGTCAACCTTCTCTTGGTCCATTGCTACTCCCCCTCTTGAGATCACATGGCCCAAGTAGGCCACCTCCAACTTCCCAAACTCACACTTTTTGAGGTTGGCGTAGAGCTCATGCTCGGCCAACGTCCTCAAAACTATCTCAACATGCCTCCTATGCTCCTCCTCACTCCTACTATAGATGAGTATATCATCAAAGAAGACTAGGACAAACTTCCTCAAATGTGGCCTAAATACATCGTTCATCAACGATTGAAAAGTGGCGGGAGCGTTTGTTAACCCAAAAGGCATCACTAAAAATTCGTAGTGACCCTCATGAGTTCTAAACGCGGTTTTATGAACATCGTTGGGCTTAACTCGAATTTGATGGTATCCCGATTTTAAATCGAGCTTCGAAAAAACCATGGCACCATGGAGCTCATCTAGCAACTCATCTATCACCGGAATCGCGTATTTGTCCGGCACCGTTTCCTTGTTTAAGGCCCGGTAGCCGACGCAAAAGCGCCAAGAACCGTCCTTCTTCTTCACTAGTAGCACCGGGCTACTAAATGGGCTCGTAGAGGGCCGAATTATCCCAGCCTCTAGCATCTCCTTAATAAGCCTTTCTAAGGAGAGGATACCTATAAGGCCTTACACTTATAGGGTTGCTGTTCTTCTTGAGAATAATTCCATGTTCGTGCCCACGGTTAGGGGGAAGCCCATTTGACATATGGAACACGGGCCCAAACTCATCCAGTAAGCTCTTCAAATAGTCAGGGAGGTCTTCTTCCACCAATTCACTCCTTCCTGCTTCCACCATCTCACTCATCTCAGCTTCAATTCGATTCACTTCAACCAACAACCCACCTCGACTCTTACACAAGGTTCTGAGCATCGCCTTCAACGACACCTTGCTGCTCTCCAATGATGGGTCCCCCACTAACGTCACCGGAGCTACGGCGACGGTGAAACACATAATATGCGTCTTCCAATTCGTAGTCACCGCATCGAGCTTCTCTAGCCACTGAACGCCAAGAATGACGTCCGCGTTTCCTAACCCCAAAGGCAAAAAATCCTCGACAATGGTTACGCCACCAGTGAGCTTCAGTTTCACTCCCCGGCAGACCCCCTTGCCTTTGACCGTCTCCCCATTACCCAGGGAAACGTCAAACTCCCCTCCCTCATCAAGCGGCATTCCACCTTCTTCGATGACCCTATGAGAGATGAAATTGTGGGTGGCACCGAGATCCACCATCACTACCACAGACGCGCCGTGTACCACCCCCCTTAATTTCATCGTTTTGGGATTAGAAATACCCACCACCAAACACAAAGTGACTCCTACCGCCACCTCCTCTTCCTCGTGCTCGGTGTCTTCCTCCTCCCCCAACTCTGTCGGTTCTCCGGCCACCATAAGGACGCTCAGCTCCTTCCGCTTGCAACAGTGGCCGACGCCCCACCTCTCATCACAACGGAAACAGAGGCCCTTGGCCCTCCGTTCTTGGTACTCTGTTTTTGTGAGCCTTCGTGTTTTTAGAGTTTTGGCAGGAAGTGGGCCGGCCCACACTAACTTGAGACTCTGCTGGTTTGGGCCAAATTTTGGTTAGGCCCAATTTACTGGCAAGCCATATGTCTGAATGAGCCCACCCCCCTTACTTCCTGAACCACTCGGATTTGGAGCCCCCAAACCCGACCCAGATCTCCACGACCCGATTACCTTCTTCCCCCACTAATCCAGTTCCTCTCCTCGATCCGACCCGCCAGTTCCATGGCATGCTCCAAGGTCGCCGGATCCAAGAGTCGGAGCTCCGCCCGGATATCCTCCTTGAGGCCGTTTATAAATTGCCCTTTCATCAAACTTTCGGGAACGTCATCCAAGGGAAAAGCCAATTCAATGAATTTCCGCCTATAATCCTCCACCGTCGACATCTGCCCCACCGCCAACCACTGCTCATGTAGCGTGCCGGCGTGGGTGGATCGAAATTCCTTCAACAGCCTACACCTCAGGTCCGGCCAGTGAGCGAACGGTCGTCGGCGTTGCTCCCAATGGTACCATTGGAGCGCCGACCCGTCCATAGCCACCACCGAAGCGGTCACCCGTTCTTCCTCCGCCACCTGGTAATAGTCGAAATACATCTTGGCCCGCATCACCCAGTTGTCGGGGACCTTTCCTTCGAAGACCGGCATTTCCATCTTTTTATGTCTCCATTTCACACCGTTGCCACCCCCTTCATCCTGCCACCCCCGGGGGTCTTGCCTCCTCCACTCCCGCATCCCTAAGCCCCCAGCTGGTGTTCACATCATTCTCGCCGTGGTTGTGGCTATTCTCGACGTGCACCACCTCTATGGGTTTGTTGGTTTGAGGTGGGTTAGTTTTGGGCTGTGTCGCGGCGGCCAAGGCGACGCTTATCTCCTCGCGTAGCTTCTCGTGCTCCTTCGCTACTATAGTTGCCCGCAAGTCCTGGTCATTACGGTATCGGTCAAAACGACCTTCAATTCTCAGCTGGTTTTTTTCCTGTCTCTTCTGCTCCGCCTCTAAGAGGGTCGCAAAATTCTCGGTGATGGCCTTTTGAGTTTCAGCCATGGCCTTGCCTACGGCCTCTGCTACGGCGCGCCCAATGGACACATCATGATCAGTGAGCTTATCTTCAATTGACTGCAGCCGTGACTCAACTACTTCCAGCCTTTCGTCTGCCGCATCGGCGCGCTGGCTTAGTGACGGCCCCCCCGCCATGACCGTGCCTGCTCTGATACCAAGTTGTCAAGGACTGATTTTTCGCACACAATTATATGTAATTTTGTGACTCAATTTAGAGGAAGGCTTGTATACTTGTTCGATTAATTCGGGAAACTAGCAGATTACAAAAGATAGTCAATGGCTTGAGGCCATAAGTCTCATGGGTAGCTTGAGGCTACTACTCTCAAAGTGTTTCCTCACTATTTTCTGGATGGTTGCTACTTTCTTACAAGCTAGTTTAAATACTCAAGCTCTTCTCTCAATTACAAGCCCTAATATTAATTAAGATTGTCATCTAGTAAAAAGCAAAATAGACATAACACAAAAGTGTCCCTCTTCCATGGCTAGAACTCCTTGTCTTCTTTCCCGATTCGGCTTGCCACCCAAATGCTCTGTTCTTCATGTCCCCTTTCCTGTTTCAGCTTTGTTGTTGACTTTGTTTGCTCCCCTTTCGTTACCGTTGGAATTGAAGTGAAGTCCACTCAGCTTGGGCCTCCTTTGATAGACCCGAATTGGTGTTTGGGCCATCCTAGCTGACTGGACTGATTGCACATGTGGGTCTATAACATGATTATTCTCCTCACTCTTTATTCTTATTTCATGAGGCTTATTTTATACCTAATGCTTAAAACTTATCATTAACCGCTAGAAATACACGGTCAATGAACTTTATGCATTCTTGTCACTATCAGTCTTGTTTGGCATTTCAATATTACTTGACAGTAAAATTTCAGCTGATTGTATGAATTTCAAAGACTGTTTTCTTCAAAAATCATTGTAGTGAATAGAAAAATGAAATCTCAAAAGAAAAAAAATTAAAAAGAAGCAAGAAGCATCCAAATCTCAATTAATGCCTCCACCTAAGTAGTTCTGCAAGACAACACAGATACTTTCTCCATTTTGGCTTACTCAAGGTTCTTAACAGAGTTAAAACCAACCTGAGGTTTGTGATGATAGCACCAAGTGTATATATCTAAATACTCTCATGTAGTTCACATAACAAACAAAGCCTTTCCAAGAAAGAAAGTCCCTAGATGACTACGTAAATATTTAAAATTGGTGGTTAGGAGCTGTGAATATTTCTTCTGCTTGAAATGTTTCATGGTCATGAAGTAAGATGGTGGGTACTATATACACCCCTTATTGAGTGTTGGGTACACATGTGTGACAGTTGGGAGATGGCAGGAGCTAGGTGCATTCTATGTGTACCTTTTATTCAATTGTTTATTTGTGAGCTATGTAAGTAATGTGTCATCAGCTTTAATATATGTTGATAATCTATTTCTGACTCAAAACATAATTTATGAAAAATTGAATTGGTTCTGATGATCTATTAGTTATCCATAGAGAATAAATAGACAATTGTTATTGGCAGACTGGGATATTAGTGCTACCTTTGCAGGACGAAGGTTGATAAGGGGTTGCACGGCAGTACATGTATGCAGTGTTTGAAAAGTACGCCTAGGCTTTGAGGCGCAAGGCAGTAGGGGGTAAGCGCTTATTTTGGCCTAGGCAAGGCGTTTTTAATTAGGCGCACCTGAAGCAAATTTCTGCCAATTTTTTCTACTGTTTAAATGGCACGCCTTAGGTGCACCTAGGCACTGCATAACCCTTATCGCTTCAGCGCTCCTTGAGCTTTTTTATACATTGCATGTATGTGTCTAAATACTCTTATGGAGCTCACAAACAAATCAGGGCATTTTAAAGAATTCTAGTGCATTGTGTGAAATTCCATTCTTCTTACAAACCAACAACAAATGTGTTTATATGGTTAATATGGGTTTAACCCAGGGAGGCATTGGTGTACATTAGTCTCTTATCTTTTGAAGCTGTAGGTCCTCTTGATGACCTCTAGTCCACGTTTTTTTTTACCTGTGATCAAACAATAATTCTTATTATAGGAATTGGACAGTGCTCCTACATTTGAATACCAAACAAGTTCTCTTATGAGGATCTAGCCCATTTAATTGGGACTGTAATATTTACTACTGGTTAATCATTGTATGACGGTTTATTTAGAATGCGATTGATCTTTTATACTCACTTCCAGAATTGTATCTCTACCACCCTTTTCATGCTGCAGTAAAGTAGTATACTAGTGATAGTTAAGGCAATATACAGCTCAGTACTTTGTGGTGCCAGGCATGCAATATAACATAATCTGCCTTGCAAAATAAAAAAGTGTCCTTTTTCCTCAACATTATTACTCAACCTAGGTTTTAGGTTCGTTCTGGCACATTCTATTTGTTTTGTTTATAGAATGTTGTTAACATGTACAATGTGGTGGCGAGACTGAGAGCAATGACTAGTTGTACAGTCTTGAGAACATCGTTTTTCTTCCATAGATTGCTGGGCTGACTGGTGATAGTATTGTAAGTTTGTAACATGTTAGAAACTTGTGTCTCTGATGCAAAAGAATGACATCCTCGGAAGAAATATGTTGTTGCTGCCTAGGTAAAAACTGTGTATGTTTAGGGCCTCTTTAGACCTGGTCAGTAGTCGCTTGAACTGGTATTTTTATCTACTTCAGCATGATTCCCAGTCCAAAATTAAGTTTTTCAAGCTGGTGTCTTTATAACCATAGAAAAAAGGGTTTTAAGTTTGTAAAATCAGAGGGAGCTCTTCATTTCTGCGCTGCTTTCTTCTGGGCAATTCTGTAATATAGTGGATGAGTCTTCCTTTTATATGCTAGAACTTTTGCTGGCTATTAGATGGTGGTAGAAGTTTCTTTGGCATAACCATTGTTTTTCAAGTTTCCCATCATAATTCTGAGTTTAGAGGGTACCTTTTCAAATTAGCTCGAATTGGTAGTTTTCTTGTCTTTGTTGTATCTTTTAGGGTTTGTTGTGTATATGATAGATTTGAAGTTTAGAACACTTGAAATAAAAAGACTACCCTCCCCCCACCCCACCTCCTCTTTTACCTAAAAAAACTAAAGATTAATCCTTTCACATTCACTTTTCTTAGGATCCTTGATTGAAACAAGCTTTCTACAAGGCTATGGAATGTTCAATTGATCAAACTTGTTTACTTGATTTATCGGGTAAATCTTATAGGATATTAGAAGGGCATTACAAATGGAGCCATTCGTGAAGGTCGATGGAGTAATGTCCGGTGACGTGAAAGTGCAAAGACAAGAGGTAAATATGGAGCTAAGTGAGACAGTGATGAAGACCTGTAAATATTTCTGGAATGTGTTCTGATCTGTGTATTTGCATGATTTTCCTTGCAGATTAACCAGCCCTGTGAAAAGTGTGGACACAGCCCTGTTGAGCTAGTTGATTCAAGACAAGTAAGCTCTAAAACATGTTTACTCATGTATTGCTCCTATATAACTTTTATCTTTTGACTCAATTGCCCATCTGAGTGCTGAAATTCACTGTCTACAGACGAGATCAGCAGATGAAGGACAGACTAATTTCTACGAGTGCCCTTCATGTCGACATCGATGGAAGGAGAACTCTTAGCTGTTATATTTTTTCTGTTTTGGTAAGATGGAGTATATTTTGGAAGCTACATTGTTGGTTGTCTTCTTGGAGCCATTATTTGGTAATTTTGCTTGTAAAAGTAACTAGTTAATTGTTAAGAAGGGTGGTTTGTTTTAGTTTTTGTTTTTTTCCCATTGTTATTTGGATTTGTATTTTACCTTGCAATTATATTGTTTGTGTACTTCGTATTCTTGTGGCTAAGTGACCTACTGGCTCATCAGTTTGGCACATGGCTGGAACCTACCGCAGCAAGTTAGGAGCATTGTGAAACATCTAGTTTATGTACTAGTTAAAGTACATTTTCTGATTTTTCCATGTTTTTACTCCGTACTCTTTTGTGTTTTAATACTTCTTTAACCGTAATTCCAAAATAGTATAGCATATATATTTTTTTTTTGACGCAAAATAGTATAGCATATGGTTGCTAAGTAGTAAGTACCAGATTACCAGTTGACTAGGGGCAATAGATAGTTGCACCACATCCTATAAAATGAAACTTTTTGTAAAAAAAAAAAAAAAAAAAAAAAAAAAAAAAGGAAAATCTGTTAAAAAAAAAATTGGAAAATTTGTTAGAAAAAAAATTGGAAAATTTGTTTAAAAAACAAAATCCTTTTCTAAAAAGCAATATTTTGCGGAAAAAAAAACCTTTTAAAAGCTTTTTAGTTAAAATAAACCACCACGTTTATTATTTTTTTGCGAGAGGAAACCTATTTACTTAATTACCCTCTAATTTCAACCTATTTGTTCTAATTAAGTTCTAACCCACCAAGTTACTAAATAATTATATTTAATTTATATATAAAACAAACTTCCATCTCAAACCACCTCATCCCTTCCTCCTCCCTTTGTAGCAACCCCACCCATTGGACTCGCTGCCCAAATCATCCACCTCCGGCGACCTACCTCCATCGCCGGCCAACCCTTTTTCCCCACCGGCGACCACCACCTTTTTTATTTTGAAAAACCCTAGAAAATCAATTTGGGGGTTTTTAATTTTATGCTTTTTGCTTGCAATTGGTGCTTGCTTTGACTTTGATTATGTATGTATGTGATGCTAAGGTGATTTAGAAGCAAATTGCATTTGATTTGGAATTGATTTGAGCATGTTTGAGTAAACTATAGCCAAAATTTAAAGGGAGGTGGTGGTTGCCGACGGGGATAAGGGAGGGAGGATCAGCCGGCAGTGGAGGTAGGTCGCCGGAGGAGGGGGATCTGGGAAATTAAATGTAATTATCAAGTAATTTGGTAGGTTATTAGAGATTAGTTAGAAGTAAATTAAAGGTTAATTAAGTAAATAGGTTTTCTCTTGCAAAAATAATGGACATGGAGGGTTTTTTTTTTTTAGGTATTTTTTCGCAAAATGATGCTTTTAAAAGGTTTTTTCTGACAAATTTGGCTAAAAAATATAAACATGTAAAAAAAAAATGAACATTCAATTATAAAAATTGAACATGTATATATATATATATATAGTACTATTTTTTTGAAAGACATATATATTTAGTACTAATAAGTGAAAACGTTTACAAAAAATGATCATTTAGTATATTAATCATGAATTAATTATCATATATTCAAATAATTGTCGGACCAACCCCTTAAAATGAACATTTAATAAGAAAATTTATTAAAACGTATAAAAATGAATATTTAGTGATAAAAAATGAACACGTAAAAAAAAAACATTTTTTTTTAAACAAAAGTGAACATGTTAAAAAAAAAGAACATTTATTAAAATGCACATTTATCATACAATCCTAGAATAATTGGACTATACCTAATAAAATGATTTTATAAAAATATATGAACACATTCAATTAAATGAACATGTAAAAACACGAATCTATCAAAAAATTATGAACATTTAATATATTAAAAATGAACATAATTTTCATATATTCATATTATATAATAAATAATAGCGAAAACTAAAGATGAAATATATCCTTAAAATTTGTTAATTTTTTATGTACTAAATGCTTATTTTTAGTGTATTAAATGTTTATTTTGTACCGCTTTACAAAAATGTTCATTTTGCATTAAATATTCAATTTAAAAGTAGGTGTATTTTCCTTTTTTTTTTTTATACAGAGATTACACACAAGTTTGATTGTAATTATTTTAACTCTAAAATTTTGGATATCCACCTTAAATTTAATCTTGATTCATCATAAAGACAATAATTATTGATTTATAACATCATAAATTTAAAATTACAAATGAAAAACTGTTAGAAATTAACAATTTTAAAATATTCACATATTTTTATTAAAATAAAAACTCAAAATTACCTAAAGATTTAGATCGCGGCGAAGATGATGATGAGATTGCTTCAATGGTGATGAGTTGGAGATTGCCCAAACAAGTTTAATGATTGAAGGAAATTGAGGTAAGAAAGAAAATTTTTATACGTTTTAATAAATGTATATAGAAAAAGAATAGAGAGAGAATAGAGAGAGATGATGGTTGTGAATGATTAAAAACGGGGAGATACGACCCCTGTTTATAGAAAAAATAGCTCGGGATCAAATCAAGTCATATTCGGAATAAAATACCTCCTGTCGCCAACGACAGGAATTAGCGCCAGACAACAGGAGCAGCGCCAGGCGACAACTGTTAGCGCCAAGCGACAACTTTGTTGTCTCACGCTAAGTCAAAATTAAAACGCGCTTTGTACGCGGAATCATCTTCTTAATACAATTAAGCAGCTAATTCCGCGTTATGCAAATTAAAATCATATTCGTGCCAAATCACATATTTTATTCAAAATAAAACTCTTTAAAATATAATTATCAATCCTAATCTCATTAGAATTAAAAAGAACCTTCTAGATATTTCTAGAAGATTAAAATCAATCATAATAACTTTAGGAATAATAATTAATAAGCCCTCCTCTAGATCATTGGACCACATGTAAAATCATTTTAGGCCAAATCTAATTTAATTCATAACTTCCTCTTTATTCATCGGAATTGGACTTATAATATATCGTTGGAAAGCTCTTTTCGAGCCCAATCCAAATACACTATTAGTGGACCCTTATCATGGACTAAACCAAATTGGAATTACTATTTTAATAAATAGAGTGAAAGAAGAAACATTTTTTAAAACAGAAAGAGAGATATTTTAATAAAACATCCACATCACTAGACTTTTCACACTTTCACTATGTCCGATAATCAAATGACGTGAAAGGTATTCATAACTGAGTTTGGTTTTGGAAAGACACATTTGGGTGTCTACAGAAGCCCCCACTTTGAATGAATTTGGAAAAACTCAAGTTTCGAAAACAAAAGTCAAAGTAGCGATAGGGACGGTGAATGATTCAGAACATTCTGCAATCCTAAATCACTCTTGTAATGCCGATACCTGCAAAATAGCGTTAGTTTAAACAGATAAAAGAGTTAAGAAACGCGTATTTTGCACCATCGAGCACACGTCTCAAGAGTAACCAATTTTGTTTGACGACCTTCCTCAAGCTAGGGGATATTGCCTGAAGACTGCTCCGCTTGTAGCTACCTCCAATTTCTGCTGTTTCCTGACCATCTTCCACATCCTAGGGAATATGGTTGAAGATAACTTGTAGCCATCTTATATTGTTTATGACAACCTTCCACATCCTAGGGAGCATCGTTGAAGACTGATGGTCGGAGCTATCTTCAATTTCATAGTGACAATCTTCCACATCTTAGGGAACACCGTCTATCAATGCTGCTACATCTCCTTGAATCATGGTGACAACCTTCCCAATCATAGCGAATGTCATCGAAGTCCGCCTCATCACGAACCGTTATTCTCAAATCTAGGTGACAACCTCCACAATCTTAGAGAACACTGTCAAAGACCGCCCATCTCGTGCTATCTTCTCAAATCTGAGTGACAACCTTCTCAATCTTAGCAAACGTCGTCGAAGACCGCCCATCTCGAGCTATCTTCTCAAATCTGTATGATAATTTCCACCATCTTAGCGAAAGATATCAAAAATTTCTCCATCTCGAATCGTTCTTTTCTCAAATCAAATAATAACCTCCCCAATCATAGTGAAAGCTATCGAAGGTTGTTTCATCTCGAACCATCCTTCTCAAATCCAAGCAAGAGACACTTTTAATCTTAAAGCCTCCTATTGAAAGCTTCTTCATCTTGAATTTTCAAATCTTCTTGTCTTTACTTTTAGGAGTAATCAACCTTTCTAGCTTTGGGAAGAACCTTATCTCAAGATTCTTCAATCTTGAAGTCAATCTCTGTAGATCTTGAAGTCAATCTCTATAGATCTTGAAGTCAATCTCTGTAGAAATCTCCATCATAGGAATCTTTTAAGATTATAATCAATCACCAATCAAATCAGTTTTCAAATTTGCTTAATCAATATGCAATCGGTAATTTGATCGTCATCAGTCCTCCTATTAATCAAGACCATAATCGGGCCGACTACTAATCAAAGGTGTCAAAAGCTGTTCATTTGAATATGATCGTCATCAGGCCGATCTTCAATCAAGGTGCAATTGAGCCGATTACCAATCATGTCAATTTGCTTATAAGGGCTAACTGGCGTACCAAGGAGCCCGAAATTACTGCATGCATAATCATTTATGGGGGCCAAGTATCTTGTCACCACACCCGCGCCCATCAGTGCTACCACTGCTACTACTACTACTCCTATTTCTGCTACCACTGCTACTATTGATACTCCTATTACTGCTACTGCTACTATTGCCACTACTGCTGCTGCTGCTACTGCTACTGCTACCACCACTACTACCACTACTCCTCCTCCTCCTACTACTACTGCTGCTACTGCTACTGCTCCTGCTCCTGCTCCTGCTCCTGCTCCTGCTCCTACTCCTCCTACTACTACTACTACTACTACTACTACTACTACTACTACTACTACTACTACTACTACTACTCCTACTCCTACTCCTACTACTACTCCTACTACTACTACCTACTACTCCTACTCCTCCTACTCCTACTCCTACTCCTCCTACTACTACTCCTACTACTCCTACTCCTACTCCTACTCCTACTCCTACTCCTACTCCTACTCCTACTACTACTACTACTACTACTACTACTACTACTACTACTCCTCCTACTCCTACTCCTCCTCCTCCTACTACTCCTACTCCTACTACTCCTCCTCCTCCTACTACTACTACTGCTGCTACTGCTACTCCTACTACTCCTACTCCTACTACTACTCCTACTACTACTACTAATACTCCTCCTCCTCCTCCTACTACTACTACTACTACTACGTACCACTCCTACTCCTACTACTACTACTACTACTACTACTACTACTACTACTACTCATACTCCTACT